GTGCATTACGCTACCAGTCATCTTTATGGAAATACTGGTATGCAAGTCTTTTATAAGTTTTTTTCTTTTCTGTTGTGTATTATGTTTGTTTTTTTGTCTCTTTTATGTTAACATGGACCATGAGTCTATTAAATAAACTAATCAATCAATCAAAAATAAATAGAACAATCTGAGTTTAATTTATTTGTGTTGATGTTATTCCCTGATTTAGTACTTTCAATAGCCGTGTTTGTGTATTTTAATCAAAAATATTTGTGGATGAAAAGTCTATATCAAAATTTTGGTGCTCAGAAACAAAAACTTCTATGTAAAGTTTAGACAATCGTAATAGATGATTGTGCTTTAAAAAAAAACAACAACCTTGCAGCCGCACCATTTATTATGGTTGTCGTACTTCTCATCAGCAAATGCATAAACCTTTTAACTTCTGTCTAAAAAATATAGATTTATCCAGAGGCTTAGACTTGGAATCATAGACACCTAACTTGTCTGAGGTTCAGCAGAACAGAACTCACAAAATTATATTTATGAGGTGAACACCAYCATAAATATGACATTGAAAGTATTTAACTTGAACAAACACGGTAAAGAGTGCATTGGGAAAAAAGTAATGTATAACCCACTAGACAGCGTTTCAATTATGAAGCGTCAGTGTCACAGCTATAAACATTACAACATTAGAATTCACGTTGGAAAGACTCCAGCAGGATTAGGATCTTTAGTTGTATRTGTAATGTTCAAAAACTGTGAAATGGATGTTTTTTTTCCAGACCATCATACTGGAAATATTGTTGGCTCTGATGTGTTTTAAATAATTAGTTCCAAATGCTCATAAATGCTGCTTGTTGGCAAGAAACGTTTCTATACAGCAGCTGTGTAGCATAARTTTTATAGCTATTTAGGTTTTATAGGTTTCAGTTGGAAGTAACGTGAGCTCTGTTATAAAACCGATTTATTTGATGTTAAAAATAGGAATATTAAACAGATTCATGCCACGGTTATAAATTGAGTTACACTGTAGACAGTGTATATTTTTATATTATTTTGCCTCATGTAGGCAGACATGAGATGTGAAAATGTTCCTGTTTTCAGGGTTTTATTGGRCCTCCTGGAGTTGCTGGGCCACCAGGGCTGGAGGGAGAGAAAGTAAGTGTTTTTATTTATGATATTCCCAAAATGGGTTGTGGAAAATGTATGTGAGCAGTAAAGAGTCCAATCTGCTATGGAGTGGTACGAGGGCCAAAATGAGGACTATTGTGCAATCAGAGGTTGCTGTATACTTGTAGGAGACTACATCTGTTCCTAAGCCAGCTATTGATCTGATTAATGACGGGCCGGCACCGATAACAGAGAGGCCAGCGCTGGCAAATGAAAAGGAGACTTCATTTGTGTTAGCATCAGAGGCTAGCAACTAGCATGCATAGGCTGCTCACCTACTTTATCAGGCACAAACCTTTTTGAATAAAGAAAACTTTCTCTATAAAGTAAACTTTCTCTAAAAAAGCCACAACTTGATAGTTTTGGCTCATAATTCGGCTGAAGAGAGAAAAAAAATTAAATAAAAATACAGCCGTTGACCAATAGACAAGGGCAAACTCAGCTAATAATTCAGGTGGTAACTAAAGCTAATGCAAAACTACAGAAAACTAGAATAGCAATAATACACACACACACACACACACACACACACACACACACAC